CCCTTTCCCCCTCCCCCTCTCTCATTATCCTTCCCTCTTTCCCCTTCCGACTTTCAACGCCTAGAATCGAGCAACGAACTTCTCTCTAATCCATTATGGCTGGGTAAAATTGTGATTAATCGTCTCTATCAGTGAGCAGAGACGGATTTTTAAAAAAGCACGTACAGACAGGCACGCGCTGAAACTAGATTATATTACTTTTGATCTGCCAGAATTTTTATGATTGGCACTATCCCTTGCTTGCTTTTCTAGTTTATCGTTTGCTGAAGGAAGAGAAGAGGAGAAGAACAAAGAGAGTGAAAGTCATCTTCATTACAAAACAATCACGTGAACGAATTGCCTTCACTCAACCTCGCTTTTTGCCACAGCTGTGGTTTCCCACCAAAGGAGACAAAATACAGGAGGGAGAGCCTTTTTTTTGAAAGCAGCATTTGAAGCTTTGATTTCTGTTCTATAAAGAAAAGCACTGTGGGCCTTTGGCGAAATTTTTGACGTGATGAGAAGATAATTTTGTGTATTTGGCTAAATGATTGCCAAAATTTACACAATAAAACTGCTGAAAATATTCAGTTTTGTAAAGATTAAAAGTTATACTCAAATATTGTTGTAAAGATTGACGTAAGACATATTCTGGCTTCAAACAGGTTTGAGTTAACCCTGATCGTTGAAAATAGCGATGTTATTCTTTACCGTTGTCGAGTAGTTGAGAGCGCCCTTCCGCATTGGTGGAGTGCAAAGAAAAAAAGGAACGTTTCCGCATTAAGTGTTAACCGTGTTGCTAAAATGGAAACATTTTTCTCTGCATTAATTTTTTCTTTATTTTCTTTGATTGGTTTAAAAAGTGAATAAATAATGGCGAGAAGTTGTATTTCAAATCTCTTGATAATGCTTTTTGTTACTTGAACAAACACTCAAGTTGTGTGTGATAGTGTGGTTTGATCGTCTGAGTGAGTGAGTGTAGTCCGGAGAAGGACTTTTGCAGGTAGTTGTGACTGAAGTTTCGACAACCAGCTGAGCGGACGTCAGTCGACTGACAAAAACAACTCACTTGACGCTGATGATTACTTCCGCTCAAGCTGTCGAAACGTCAGTCACTTCCCCAGACAACTATACTACACTATTACCGGGTTCAAACCATTTACTGTGCTGTACTTGTGTGTTGATCAATTTTTGTCTGCCTGAGGCGTAGGCGACAAGTCAAGGAAGAAAGCTTTGATCAAAGTCAGTATCTGAGCAACTGCGGACCTACCCCTCCCCTAAACCAACATGAACCCTAACTCGTGATAAGTTGACTGTTGCTGGGTTGGAGGGGGGAGCTGCGCGGTTGCTCTGATACTAAAATTGAACCAAACATGTCATGCTTTTGAAATGGTTGAACGTCACTGAGGAAGCTTTCATATTAATTATCAATACATATAAGTAAGTGTGGTTTAAGAGATCGTGGCTGAGCAGATGCTAATAAGACGAAATATCTCTCGTTGCATTCATCGGTATCCTGCAAGAAAGGAAACGACTGCAGAACGATGGCGGCAAATAATTTAACAGGGGAGAGAACACAAACGAGAACATTTCAAGAACTGCGCTGCTCCCCTTCCTTAGCAAGTGGATTACAACAACAGTCAATTTATCTCGCTACAGTCAACATTTTTCTCTCCGTCACAGCATTAATCGGGAATTCTCTTATCCTTGTTGCTCTTCGCAAGGAATCTTCCCTCCATCCGCCATCCAAAGTCTTGTATCTTTGTCTGGCAACAACTGATCTGTTCGTTGGTCTTCTTAGCCAGCCTCTGTATGTTACTCATTGGATGTCCTTGGTTCAAGAACACTGGAGTCTTTGTCGACTCGCAATTGACGCAGTCTCCATGACAGGCTTCACTTTATGTACAGTGTCTTTGTTGACGATGGCGGCCATAAGCGTGGACAGACTTCTCGCCCTATTGTTGGGGCTGAGATACAGACAAATCGTAACTTTGAAGCGCATGTATGCCTTGGTAGCTACCTTCTGGGTGCTATCCAGTCTCGCTGGGTTGTGTTACATGCTAGATCACCGCATAACCATTTGGTATGGCCAGACAACTAGGATATTTGGCCTCGTAATCCCAATTGCCTCGTACACAAAGATTTTCCGCACTCTCAGTCATCATGAGGCTCAAGCACAGGATCATATTCAACAACAGCCAAGCCGAGCAATTCAACTGAACATAGCGCAATATAGAAAAGCAGTGCACAGTGCACTGTGGGTGCAGTTAGCATTAGTTGTTTGTTATGTGCCTATGAGTATGGTGGAAATTGGTACGGCTTTTAGTAAAACATATTCATCGCAATTAATCGTTATTAGGGGAATAGCAGTAACTTTGGTCTTCTTTAACTCAACGGTGAACCCATTTCTTTACTGCTGGAGGATAAGTGAAGTAAGACTAGCAATAAAGCAATCAATCAGACAAGCACTTCGCTGTCCACGATGTTAGATCCTCCACGATTTACAATCGTGCTGATGTTTTCAAAGCTGACTTAAAGAGTCTCATTTATTATTAGAGAAAACTCGTTGTGCAAGAAGAAACGAGAATCAAAAGAAGAGAATAAAATTAATTGCAGAACTCCGTTCAATTGAATGTACACAAGACTAACATCTTTCGTGTTTCGTGCTTCCTTCTTGATCATGGATACAACTTGTGATTTAATTACAAATAAACATGCGTGCACGGTTTAGAAACAAACGGGGTGTTGGATTGATTTTAATATCTCTGCAATCTTCCCGGCAAAATGGAAATAAGTGATAAAAGGGGAGGAAGGTAGAGGAGATAGAGAGGAAGATAGCTGTTATTTAGCAGTAGTGAACAATTTCAAATTTTCACCGAACAATGAGGAAGCCCCATAATCCCCGTCAAGCCGGTCACTAGACTAGCTAGCGACTCGAATTTGTGGACAGTGTTTTATATTACTTATGAAAGTATAAAGATGTTTCTATTTCTAGCAATTGACGTGTAACCGAGCACATGAAAGAAATTTGACTTTGTAACACTGGAGGGGTCTTTAAGATCGATCGTTTTTCCGGATAGAATGTTACCGTGGGCGAATAGATTTCGAGGGGAAAGTGTTATAAACACTGATCCACTAAAAGTTGTTTCCGAGCTGTAATCGTTGTAAGTCTAGGACTTCTTATCTAATAGCGTTCACCAGTCAACTTGCACTTACTCTTTTTTTGTCAAGGCCTCTTTAAAACGCATTACCACATGAGAGCAATCCAGAATTTTCTAACATTCAGGTAGAATTTATCCATTTCTCGAGCAAATAACATGTCTCCTTGATAAACTACTTATCTTATCGTTCATAAAGTGGTTAAAGAGCGTTCTTTTATCGTAATAAATAATGGAAAAACTGATGTCTTTATGTTTGCCGACTTAAATTTGAGAATTAACTTTTAAAGTTTATTTACGCTTAAATTCAACTACTACAAATGAAATAAACAGCTGGTTCCCACCAACGCAGTCTGGGTGGGTCAACAGTCAAAAGGCCAATAACTAGCCGCCAAACTCGTAGAAGATCTTAATGGGGTAGTGACTTTTTAAGCTCACGGTTAAAATTTTTGTCTTTTCACCGCTAACGGTTTTGAGAAATTTTTCCGTGGAAGTCACCAGAAAATTTTTTAAGGTTAATATTTTTTACGGCTAATGGTTAAAATTTATCAATTTTTATGTCCAGCAGCTATTTTTTTTCACTGCTTTACGACTAACAGATAAACCTCATTGAGACCTTTTTTTTACGTACGCCGGAGTCAAGCCCCGCGCTATGTGGGCAAATGGCACAAATAACATCCTTTTACAGATCCTTTTTGATAAATTTACAGCAAAAAAACAGAACTGACTTCTCTCAGGAAACACTTTCGGTGTCGTCAAACGTGTCTTCAAACGTCAGCTAGCCGTGAGTTTTAGAGTGAGTTCCACATTAACGAGTCACTCAGCCGTTATCGCTTAATATGCAATTTAAAAGATATTTGTTTTCAACCCTGAAGTATAAAAATTGACTCGGTGGGCAGCACTGAAAACTTGTAGTGATGAAAAGTAGGTTTTAAATACACAAAAAAGTTCTGTCCGGATCCGTCTGAGACAGAAATATTCCGAAAGTTTTCAATAAAAAAAAATTAGAACCCTGTTTAAAAGATAAGCTAATATAACAGCTCATTGCTCTACATTACGTAAATTATTGTGCCTACAGCAGCAGCAATTTGCATGTAGGAAATTGGCAAAATATGTATGTCTGAAATATTTTGCGAAATGTGCCAATGGTTGAAGAAAGAAGAGTGTGAAAAAGTGAAGCGTTATCAACAATAAGTAACTCGTCATTCAGAAAAACTTAACCAGCAACCGTCAAATGACCTAAAATTAAATCGTTTCCAGTCAGAGATATAACTCCACACATAAGACCCTCCTCTGAAACACTGCAAGAATATCTGGACCCAATCACCAATCGTACCGCTTGTATTCCTCGTTATAACTCTGTTTCTATTAACCTGCCATCGTACCCACATAAAAACCCACTTCTAATCCCGATTATACAGTGTAAAAAAGACAGTTGCAACGAACTTGCTTTTAAGAATGTAAAAAATGTAAGGTTAAAAGTGATATTACAGGCATGTTAAGTTGTTTTTATTGGAGAAGTATTTTAGCACCTGTGGTTTTTCCTCAGGAAATAAAATACACAGTAAGACATGCGTTGAGCAAAAGAATTCGCGTGAAAGTCCTTCGAAGCAATTTGACGCGCGTGAAACTGTTCCCAATTGTCACGTCTTTTCGTGGTAGGCAGCTTTGGCGCGTTCGAATGTTCTTCGAATGTTCTTGAGTGTGAGACAATATATGTCTGTGTGTACAGTATTGTACAGAATAGTAATACAGTTAACTCCTTTTTACTCTGTGAAGAACACAGCAGTCATTATAAACCGAGCCTTTCAGCTTCTTTAGCTTCAAAAAATGTGTAGGAGAGAGTGATGGTGTCCACTTTAGCCATGGCAGGATCTTCAGTGAATTCGGGATCAATGTAAAAAAATACTGGCATATCCACCTGCCAACAAAAAATAGAAGTGCTCTGATTAACATCAAACAGACTTTAAAAGAATTAAAATGTGGCCCAGTTTCCTTTATGACACCTGTAACAAAGAGTGGCTGTTCCTGGTGGACAGAAGCTCTGAGATGTTAAGTTAAAATGACAGCTTCCAAAGATGGAGTAAGGATCTCTCTATTACCATTATTATCATGAGCTAACCCCATACTCTAATTTGTACAAAACCTTTCACTGGCTTTACAGCATGGCTGTCAAAGCCATGAGGAATTCATGTGATATTTGTTGAAGTGGAACTCACAACAACTGAAGATGAGTGAAACACTTGAATAGGCCAACCACCACACAAACACATTTCCAACATTTTACAGGTAAAAGCAGAGTTTGTCAGCTGAGGTTCAACACTAGCACTTAGATGGGCTGGAATTTGGTGATATGCCAGGTTGTTTCGGTGTCATATTTATCCTCCTAGTTTTATGTGGAAATGTATTCCTACTGGAAAGATTGTGAAAGCTTAACCTTACCTGTTCATGTGGATTCAGTCTCTGTTCCTCAAAGCAAAAGCACTAGGAATAAAAAAATCATTTGTAAATCACTCTGAAAATAATAATGTCACAAAGTAACAAAATCTTACTAATAGTAATAAGGGCAGAAAAAACACTATCCCTCCTTGCTCCTATGAGTGACTAAGACAGTATTTCTCATCACAATATCAATACAATATCAAGGAGACAAATGAAGTGATACAAATAAATAGAAAAGCCTCAACTAGTTGATTTTTTGTTGATCCGATACCAAATTCTCAAAACTAACATCATAAAAATTACATGGCTCATAGTAAAGAGAATTTTTAATGAGATCTGGGAGTAAAATGATTAAATTTTAACAACAAAATAAGACTTACCTGGATTTTGTTGAAATATTGTCCTGCTTCAAAGGGAATCACATTATATGTTGAAATTCCTGTGATGGGCTCATTAGTTGGGTTAGTAGCAGTGTAAAATGCCAGAGCTGTTTCCCCTGGTACAAGCTGGAAAAAAATTCAGTGCAGCTCAAGGTCAAATGCTGCTGTCATTCACATGATGCAAAAATAATTCTAGATACACACACTGTAGATTTGTGATCTTGGTTGAACTGCACATGTCAAAAGAGATGATAGCACCAAACAAACTCATTTCAATTATACCCTGATAGCTGTCTGTTGAGGTCTGAAGTTCCACTGCATGGAAGCACTCCTATCTGCATTAAACCTGATAACTAACTCTCTTTCTGGTTTCCTTTCCATCTGCTCGATCTTCTCCCCAGATTCCTCTCTCTTCACTGTTCCACCCAAACCTGTTGCCTACACAGACAAAATAGAAACAAAAGTAATAATCCAGCTATCTTCTGTTATAACAGTGCATTAGCTTTGAGGTAAAGATAATCAAGATGTTCTTTCACCCTGACAATATGCTAACGTTTAAAATGTCAGCTTCAGTATTTCTCTACAGTGGCCAATTCATAATATCAACTCAGTTGATAAAACCAAATTATAATGCAAACCCCATTAAGGCAGTACTACAGTTGCTATAGAAACTTACCCCTTTTAAAGGTAGTGAGCCTTAGGTGAAGGATGTAGCGTCCCTCAAACAAAACAACAATTCGAACTAGCTTAAATTTTTTTTACTTTGAAATCTTTTTTCAACTGCAACACAAACAAAGAACAATAAATTGAAATGGAGAGCGGAGATTGGTGGGGAAAGAAGGATAGTAAATGTACTTGTTGCTTGTGGCCAGGACTGTAAATCAAATTCACTTACCTGGCAGTAAAGGCGATAAAGAGGTACAGCAAGATATGAGGCTCCCACAACCGTGACTGCAAGGGCTATTATATAAATCGCTGTTGTCTTGTTCCGCATACTGGAGGCCGAATGTCCTTTCGAGCCGACACGAGTCACAGCAAAACGCCGACTGACACCCCACATCAAACCTGGAAACATTTTTAAGCGCCTTGCTGGTAGGAAGGTAATTTCCTTTGTCACCGAGAGTTCTTTAAAGCATCTTGTGCAGATAAACCTGTTTCGTGTTATGCTATGAAAGCATACTCTCCCTACCATAAGCTTACATAATCTTGAACCCAGAACACCATGATGAGGATTCGAAAGCAATACTCTCTGGCCAGCAGTCCGAAGAAGCAACCCAATCATGCTACAAAAGTCAAACTAAAAAAAATGATGAAACCACAATGTTCTTGTCTTTCTTGGATGGTCACAGTTTTTACAATCCACTTCTGGGAATTATGTCATCTGTCCGCCATATTGCATTTCACACTAACAGAGTGAGATTGGGTTTTAAAAATATCACTCTCCTTCCCAGGGTCTCACGGCTCTGTTCATTCAACTTTTCTTTTAAAGTTTCCTTGCGTTTTATTTGACATCTGTTCCCTAAAATGTTGCATCATTAAAACGGTGGAATTTCAAGACCTTCAAGCTCAGAAATTTTATTGCAGCAGAAATAATGCTTTTGCCACAAAAATACACACTGTAGTGTTGAGGTTGTTATTATAGATAACCTTGAGTGATTAACCACCAGCATCAATCCGCCAAGTATTTGAAAAGTGCTGATTACAGAATTTACAAGTAAAATAGGGGCAAGGGGATTACTAACGATAATCAGTGCTCTGCAGAGGGAGGTTCTGTCTTAAGGAGTACTTCCTTTAGTTATGCAAATGAGTAAGAATTTCTTCACAAGACAATTTTGGTTTTATCAACTGATTTGATCCCCCTTTAAGAGTATCTTAAGTTGAGGTATTTGGAAGGATAGGGTAATCTAACAGAGGGGCTGCCTCTGAGGTTCTCCATAGCATCTCTAATTAACTTAACTGCTTCGTTATTACCATGTAATTGTTAACAAAAGTTTAGAAAATAAAAGGGATGAAGTTTTTGAAAAGGATACCAATTTCCATTTTAATATATATCGCGCAGGCACACATCCTGTCAAAAATAGAAAATGGTAAATGACAGGACCCATCCTCATGAAACTATTTTTGAAGACCTCATCAAAAAGGCTGAAACATTTTGGATATAGATTTCATCAGTGGGCCACTTTCCATACCTCCCCAAGGTAAGCTTTCATATGGAGAGAATAAATCTATCAATGGCAGTTAAAATATTCACCCAGATCTCCAACATTATACTTTAGACACCACTGAAGCACTAAAACATCACATCAATCAAGTGCATTAGCACTATATTTACAACAGCTTGCATATACAGAGCCTGTACATTAATATTCGATTTTATATTTAGTATATAAATTTATGTTAATCCTAAATTATTTATAACTTAGAACCTCATAATACTGATTTGTACAATTATCTTACAACAAAGATATAGTTACATTTAAGGCCACAAAAAAAACAGTTGTCTGAACAAATGATTCCACATGTTTTTAAATAGCATATTATTTCTCCTCTAAGACGCAGCAAAACTTTACATTACATTTATATAACATTCATATTGACAGGGTCTGTAGAGTTCCAGTCACAAATGTCTAGCTATGAGATATTTTCCAAGGCACTGCACATGATTTCATCTTCTCTGCTGAACTCTTCATTTTCCTCTGAGCGATCTTGTGATTGATTAACCTGATGATTAAATGGTGGAAAGAAAAACATCTAAAAATTATAGAAAGAAAGGAAATAAAGGGAAACTTCTTCAAAATATGAATTAATGCAATCAAAACCTTGATTAGTCTTCCTTTTTGAACATATTTTCAAGCTTGATTGCACAGAAAACATGCTTATTCAGGGTAAATATATTTAATAAGTACCTTAACCCTTTAACTCCCAGATCAAATTTGTAATTCTCTTTACTCTCAACCAATTCATATAATGTCAGTGCAGAGAATTGAGTATTGGTTGAACTAATTATCCCCAAATTGATATTTTTCTTAATTCTCATCACTTACCTGGTTGATATTGTATTGATGTTGTAAGGAGAAATTTTGTCTTGGTCACTAATGGTAGGGTTAACAATGTATTTCTAATTTGGGATCAGACCCACTGTTCATGAGGTCTGTACTTTCTCCAAATTTTAATTATTTTGTATTTTCAATGTTTTACTGAATTGTACTGGAACTATCAACAACTAGAAACATCTTATGCACACAAACACTGAAAGAAATGTGCAGCTTATATAATTATTTTTTAAATCCTTACCTCCATTTTTTCAAAAGAGCTGTCCTGTTGTCTTGCACTCAACTGTAATGAGGATAGGCTAGACTGTAGCATTGCCACCACTCTGTCCAAATGCCTGTTTCAATATAAACAGTTAATTGATATTTAATATCAATACCATATATGTAAATAAGATGCTGAAGGAACATGTCATTAGGCTTAATACATATACAGTAGAATCCTGATTCCAGGATCTTCTTTTGGTAAAATACATAATCCTATTTTACTTTTCCCTCAGAGCCTTGGAAAATCAGAATTCCCCCATAGTTATTTGAATTTGGAAGAATTTGGGTTGAATGGGGAAGGTTCGCTAAGATCATAGGTTCATTTCACAGATAAAAAAGTCCACTTTGTATTCAATCTATTAAATGTGTAAAACAACATTGGTTTTTTAAGTAAACTAAAATGAACATTACTTGTTTAGTTTGTCTGCTGTGTCCAGTCTCTGCTGCTTTTGCCTTTCCATCATTACTCTTAATGTCTCCCGTGCCTGCAAGGTGTCAAAATATACTAACTTTTTTACCTGAAATAACTTTTTTTCAAATCGAATGGCTCAGAGCTGAACAAAATTCAGGAAAAACAAAAATTAAAACATCCAAGGAAATTCAATTGCACATAGAATGTACTCATAACTACAAAAAAGTACAATTTAAGGAGTTCAGCTGCTGAGGCTACTGAGTACATCTCTTACTACTGTACTGATTTCTTCAACAGGACAGTATCTTATGGAAAAGAAATCTATTGGTTTACCCAGAGGGATACTGACAGAAAAAAAAGCATCAAATCAGGCAAGTCAGTTGAAGCTAATAATCAATTATTAACCTGATGTGGTCGAAGTTCATTGATCAAGTGATGAATATTAATAAATAGTAAGTTCAAGTCTTCTAGTTTTTCTTCTCTCTGAAAATAAAGGCAAAAAAGCATTACATTACATCCCAGTAAAGAAAATGAATTGTGAATCAGTTAACCATTTCACTTAAAAGCAATTTCACCTGATGCATTAAAATGAATACTAATATTGAATAATTTGTCCAGATGATACCTTACTTGGTTTGTAGTAACTATGACAGTTTTAAACTAGGAAGCTTCTGTAAAGAACTGTAATGGTTTCTGGACAACTTATCACTCTTAGTCAAGTAAGTTGCATGTGTTGCTGAAAACCTGCGTATATTGACACTGTGTTAGGGTAAACATACCTTAGGTGACGAAGGAGATTTAATTAGAATATCTAACAGCTCCAAGAAGTTTATGACAATGGAATGATTTAGTTTTTTTAGCTCTTTGATGCGATCTAAGGGAATAAGAAAAACAATATTCAAAATTCTGCAGAATAGATTAAATTGTAAATAGTAAGTTTCATTAGATATCAAAACAGTGCATTCATTTTAGTCATGAAGAAAAATAACTTTAGCCAATTCTTACTTGCAAGAATTAAGTACTTATTAAACTAAGGGATTGTACTTGCACTAGTTATACTCGACAGACCATTTGGCTTGTCCACTCTGTTGGGGGAGCGCTGCACCAGTATCACAGAAGTCAGGGGTTCAAATTGTGCAGGGGTCTCAATTTTTTCAGGCCTCATTTTGTACTGCTGCTTAAGAAGCGTTCATTATTGCAAACATCACTCTCATATTCATTTATTATTTGCAGTTCACATATACGACTCTTCATATATTCACATTCATTCCGACCAGGGTAAATTCTCATGTTTAAAAATACTGTACATACCAAATCTCCCCTGAGTTGTATAAAGTCTGGTTATTCCCTGAAGTTCTAACGGTCTGATAATGGATTCGTCAGTCTGAGAAAAATAACGAATAAAACAACATCAAAATGAAAAAATTATATTCTATGAAAGACACAACCTTAGGGCGAGCTCAGCACACTTTAACGGTCATCAAAGGCTATAAATGACAAATTAGTCTCAAAGCAAAATAATAAGAACTTAACGCTTCGTTTATCGTCAAGAAGTTGTAAATATTAGCGTGTAAACCTTGGTTGTATCGATCCTAATCAAGTAAGTTACTTTATACTCTCTTTTCAGCAAAACAACATTCGATTATGAAGGGTAATACCTCAAAAGAAGCCCCAAAAATAGCGTAAGCTCCCTCAGCTGGAGTTGGTGGATCAGGTACTAATTGCTTCTTTACATTTTCATCCGTGTAAACCTTGTAGTATTGAGCTGGGGGAAGAGGAAACGGACAGACACCTTCTGCGGCCATCTTGGAAATTACTCATACGGCTGAAGTGGACTATGGGTATTATTTCTCGTTTCCATTCCAATCAGGTTTTTCCCGCAAGGGAATGATGTTGAGCCCGCGTTCCTAACAACTGAAGGTAAGGCGATACAGTAATGTAGTTTCTTCTGGTAATATTAATGTGGCTTTTCCCAAAATAATTTTGCAGGAACTTGAAAGAGAGGTCCTTGATTACAGTCTTCTTTTTCTCCTTGAAATTCTTGATATAGCATCACAGTATATGATGCTTCACATTTCCTTTTAAAATAGTTGGGATAGTGTAGTGTTAGATCAAGAAAAAAAACTTTAACTTGATAATTTTGGATATTCTCATCTCCTGTTTGCTGGATAATGTATAGATATAATATAGAGAAGTTGCATGTCAGTCACTTCTGGGAATTTAAAGGTCACCTATACCATGATAAGGGAATGTGTAAAGCTGAAAAGGAAGGACTAATTCCCAGATAGATTACAATAGTTACATTTTCCTAGTCCTATCCACAAGACCTTCTATTCTCTCTCAACCAGAGCTCAAGTAAAATTAGATCTGCATTGATTTTCAGGGAGGGGAAGTGCTTCCTCATATAACTTTCAAAATAGTACAGATTCAAAGAAATAGTAAGTTTCTTAAGTAAGAAATAAGAAGGTGAATAACCTGTGCAAAGCTTATGTATTGATATTATTCCTTGGTGATCATGTTCAAGATATGGCCACCACTACAGGCTCAGCAGTTAATTGGTGTCCCTCAGTAAGGATCATCATACAGCAGTGTCTATCAGCCAGACTACAGGTTCAACCACCAACAGAGACTGAAGATGAAAGATGGGTGGAGGTAAAGATGACAACCTGTAAGCTGGTTCTCATGATTTCAGTTGAGTTGTGATCCACTAATGGGCCATCCAAACCTTTCAGATTTCCAGGGGAATTGTCATTTACCTGTGTTTTCTCAAAGGATCAAACCTGGATATCATACCCAAAGAAGGTAAGCTAACAGTAAAATGATAAAAGTTTGAATATATGCAATATGGTCTTCATTGTCTTCATGGTCCTACAGAAAGTCATGATGATGATAATTCTTTTAAATTCTCAAGCCAGTTTCTCCTCCCTCATATCCTCGAGAGCACTAGATTCAGAAAAACAAGGAATAAAAAAAGCTTTTAAAATTGCTTCATCTTGCCTTATGTTGTTCAGGTTTGTGGATTATAAAAGCATGGAGAATCCTGTCACCGTTTCCTTCCCAGACTCCCATTGTCTTTTGTCAACCCCACTGTTTGATTTTCCTTCCTGAAAGATGCTGACAGCCTTTCTCCATCTTGTCTCACTAACAAAGGCTGGATGTAAGGGGTTTTTTTTTTTTTCGTCATTTCTATAATCCTTATTGAGACCATGGGTATTGTTACAAGAATCTGTAATGCTCTTCCTGAGATGGACTCTTCGTGTAGTGTGGCATTTACCATCTTTGGCTCTTCCTGTATTTTTTTGTAGCTTCGCAAATTTGTTGTAAATGATTTAGCTTATAAAATTGGAGCTTCACTCCATCTTTTTTTCTACTCAGTGAAATCAATTTTAAATGTAAGACTCAGTGAGACCACAGGCCGACCAAGAAATGTGTCAGTTTTGGAGTTTCCTGGCGATGTTCTTATTGTTCCTCAGGTAAGTGATTGACAGAGCAAATCATGGCAGTTGGGTTAAGTATTATAGGCTAAGTTATTCCTTAGTGTTAGAACTTATCCAGGTTTCCTAAGCATGAAGGAACTTGTAGTGAAATTTTATATTTCTGCTCATTCTGCATGGAATGCTTCTTAGTCTTATTTGTGGTAAACCCCAGAAAGTTTCTGAGTATGGCCCACTACCCTTTTATATTCCTGGGTCAATAGACACACCGTGAGAATTAAGAACACAATACTGTGACACTTTAAAGACTCATTCCCAGACCTCTCCTTTCTATGCGCCAGGCCATCACCTCACTTGTGACAAAATCGGATGTTATTAAGAATTTCTTTATCACAAACCAACATCATAGACCAACTTCAAGATAAAAATATGCCTTGTAACAAGCTGTAGAAACCAACCCCCTCCTAGCCCCAGTCTATGCGGCTATCCATATGAGTTTGACTTTCGCGCGGATCATGAAAATAAAAGATGCGAGCTTGAGTTGAAATGTAATTGCCAGAACGTTCTTATGCCAGTCGTATTCCAAAATCGTCCGGTAAATTGCTCTTTCTTTTAGTGTTATTAGTATTTCCTATGTTAGTTACAATCTTGTTATTAGTTGTTCCGTCCCTAATGTATTATGTTCGTAACACTTTATTTAGAAACCACAGGCAATGGCGTGTAGGTAAAAGAGTTCGATCGAGTCGTCATTAAATTAAACTCCTCTTAAATTTATCGCTAGTGCGTTGGTTATACAAGTGAAAAAATTAATTTGCTTGGGCACAAATACATAGAGCATGATGTGTCAATGAGAGGCTGGAAAGGAGAAGCTGTTTCTAGTCCATAAAATATGGGGCTCAAAATAATAGGATGCTACCATTTCCTTTTTTAGTCTTCCCACTCAAAACCTAGAATGGATACTTCTTGTTAAAAAAATCTGTGATAATGATTTTTCAGGCAACACTTGGGGGAAAGATGAAAGGAAGAAGCGTTCAGTATCATTCAAATATATCGAAAGACGAAGGAAGGGTATTTTATGAAAAGTTTATCACCCTTTGTGAGGTATTTTTGTGTTAATTGTTTTCAGTTTTGTCGAAAACTCTAGACATCCTTCTGCGGGACTCTTTGTGAGTCATACAGATGTTATGCGAGTGATGTGATTCTCGCACATAGTTTGTGCTCGTGTACGCCAAGAGCTAGGAGCAGACTTGCGTCATAATCTTTGTTAGCTTCCAGTTGTCATGGACGTATCGGCATTCCTCAGTTGTCCCATTAAATAACTTTTGTAAGGGTGTGCTTCTAAGAAGCGTAACTTACCCAGAACTTCTCCTTCTCTCCCTCCCTCATTTTATTTTATTCCTTTCTTCTCTTTCTCTCGTCTTTTCTCTCAAGTATAGTATTTTGTTCATTGGTGTATCTAGGAAACAGTCCAAGCTAACTCGACAAATCTACCGGACTCCCCTACGAAAAAAGTGAAGCACGGTGAGATTATTAGTGAAAACACAATTACACATGCCTGATTGGCGCGCTCTCCGAGTGCATTTCGCAAACTCGTGAAGTAACAACGGCTAATCAGAAAAAAGGAAAACATTACGTGGAGCCGATGAGAAACTGGAGTAAATACGAGCAAACGTCCATCAAGCGCTAGATCAAGACGAGTTACTAAGTCACAGAGTGAGGCGCGTTATCCAGACCAATTGTATTATGTTGAAAAACAAAATCAGTGCAATACGGATTACTTTTACACACATTTGAAATTAAATTTATCATATTATTTAGCTTATGCTATTTTTTAAATTATACTAAGTGTTTTGCGTCACTAGTTTATTTTTCTGTTTTCAGGCACGTATGGAAACAGACAAGTGCTGAGTGTGGAAACAAACGGGCCATTTACACACGTGTTTGACTTTTAGGACATCTTTTACGACGGTATCATTACGACCTTACTACAGTATTTTGCGAGACTGGGTGTTCACGATGAAGAGGAGCAATTGATGAACTGATTGACTCTCTCTGTTTTTACGTACACTCGTGGTCATAAGCTTGCGAAAAATGCGGAACGACAAGAGAGGATCTCCTATTTAAGACCACGAAAGGAAATTGAGTTATGAATTCCCCATTGCAAGCCAAGAGTATGAATATTGTAAAATCCGAGTGTGTATGCATTTTACAAATTTAGCGAATTAGTGTCAAACCCTGAGTGCACAGGTCTACCAATCAAGCCACTACGTCCCCTTACGTTGCTAAGTGCAGTCAAAGAAGAAACTTAAATCTTGAATTCAAGTACACTGTTACTATTTTTATGTATAAACTTAGTTCGCTATATTCATTATCCTGCAATGTTAATTAGATAAATATATAAATAATTTAATAATTGCTTGTGGTGAAACATTACATTGATTCACTAGCTAGACTTAAAATTTTGGAGTGAGGTAGCGGAGTTGCCTCCTTTTCAAGAATGTCGCGAAGTGGCTGTTCATTCGTGTAGATCTATTCAGCACAGAAAACTCTGTCCATTACTTGCGTTGCATCTTTTCATATGATTACAATCCTCTACTCAGTAAAAACCTTATTCCACATTTTATCCACAAGAGTTTCACATTGCCTTTTCCAACTGTACGTCTGTTCATAAGATTTTCGCAGGCTTTGTATTTCTTTCAGGCGTTTTCCCCTTTTCTTCTCGAATACCTTTATGATCGCGTCTGACCAATCTTTTGCCTTTTCACTCTCAACCACACAGTGGTCTCCAAATTCTACATCACTTAGCGCTTTTGCGAAACCTGAGCTTTTGCTAACAAGAATTGGCACACCGGCAGACAAGGCCTCGAGCGCAGTGAAACCGAATCCTTCAGTTCTTGAAGGCATAAGAACAAGATCCACGCTGACTAGTAATTGCTTTAATAGTTTTCTATCTTCAACGTAACACCCGAAACTCAATTGATTGTCGCGAACACCATACTGCAAAATCCTCTTCGCAAAATTGTCTTGTTGCTCACTAGATGCACCGACAAATTTTATTTGAAAGCAATCTTTTTTTAGCTCGTTAAGTGCGAATGCCTCGGCTACTATGTCGTAACCTTTAAGTCTGAAGTCCTCGTTATCACCACGCCCAAACACAAGAACCTGAAACATGTCATTCTCGTGTGGTGATTGTTCTGCATCCGTTAGATCCTCTATTATGCCAGGAGTAAATTTCATAACATCTTGCTCTTTCTTAACACAACGAAGACGATGGGAGTAAAAGCTCTCTAACTTTGGACCAACTGGCAGGACAAGGTCGGCTTTTGCACACAGCTCAAGCTCGCTTAGGTTCTTCTCTTCACCTTTGGCAATAGCTTTTGGATAGTCTTTGAACATACCAAGTTGCTCAGGCACGGTGTGAACCACGTGAACCCACTTGCACCTATGGGAGTTTTTAATAACTTGAGCTTGTCTTCCAAGCTTCACACCATGGCCGATGATTATGTCAATTTGAGGGTCTTTCGGTGGGAAAAATAATTGTTCTTGGGAAGTACAGGCTGTGAGTTGTTCTGCCTCGATAATTGTAACCCCTTTCTCTTTTGCTGTTTCCTTTACTTCTCTCCCACAAACACCATGTGGGACGAAGAAAGTGACATCGACGTCTGGATTTCTCGCCAAGTGAATAGCAAGTTCTCTATTAAAAGTTGATAAACCACCTTTCAGTGAATTCCATTCATCTGCCAATATAGTTATTCTCAATATTCTGTCGATGGAAATGCTCGAGTCCTCTGGTTCA